ACCCTCTCAGAAGGGCGAGGAGTCCGCCTCTTGGGTTACAGATGTGCCCCAGCTGGGCCCGGGGCCCACCCTTCCCTCTCCCCAGTGTTTATTGCTGCTCAGCCCTGCCCAAGAAGAGCTGCCGAATCAGCTTTCTCTGGCCGGGGCCAGCTCTTGGAGCCGAGCTGTCCTGTATCTCTTGCACCATCCACCCCTTAGATAAACAGCCTGGCGTCCTCCACACGCTGCAGAGTTCTGATGTGGTTGCAAAAGGCTCTGTGAGCCAAATGCCTCTCACTCGAAGAAGGACCCTGGCAACAGGCCCTGCTTTTCTTCCAGCCTGAGTCAGGCCCTTGCCAAAGTGACAGGAGGATCCACTTCCTGCCTGAAAAGGTGGCCGCAGCAGAACTCTCTGCGGGGCAGGGCTTCCTTCCCACTGCCCACACACCAGGCTTCCTCCTCCCGGAAGGTCTGGGCCGCCTCTTCCTGAGACAGCCCCCGCCCCAGCCTTTCATGGGAGTGTTTTCTCTGTTGGACCCAGATCGGCGAAGTGGGCACCCACCAGGTTACAGAACCCACTTCGCAGCCCGCCTGGCCTCCCAGGTGGGGTGACATTTGGATTCTATATCAGACATGTCCGCAGATGTTTATCCCACCGCCCACCACTCCGTCATACTGTGCATGGGCCACTTTACTGAACAGTGTAACTTTGTGAGCTCCCTACATTCAGTAAATTCAGCTGGTCCCCTGTATTTTGTTTGCTCTGGAGTCTGACCCAGGGGATTTGCCTTTTTTGAAAGGTGACTCGTGGACAGAGAAAATGTCACCAGCATCTGGTGAGCAGTGCATCATCTTCCTCGTGGCCAGTGGGCCTTGGGGAGGCCAGTGAGGGTAGATGCCAAGGCTCAGCGGTGGTGGTGGGACTAGGTGACAGATGTGGCTGGGATCAGCACCTGAGGGCTGGGGGTGGAAGGCAGCAGGCCAGCTGGGTGCTCATGGCTCTAGAGAGCACCTGTTGACCTAGGACTTTCAATGGATGGGCTTGTCTTGGCCTTGGTGGGCCCAGACTAAGGCAGAGGTAGGGGAAGAGGAAATCTGTTAGAGAAGGAAGAGGTGGAAGGGAGGCTGGCTGTAGAGCATCCTCAGGAGGCCTTTTGAAGGAAAACTCAAATCTGTGGGGCCATCAGATGACCCCTGCCTTCTGGGAAACACACGAACCAGGGAGAGAACTCAGACTGCTCTTTGGCAGGGAAGACACAGGGAATGTGACCATCACTCTGCCAAGATAGAGCTGGCTCACCTCCTACAGGGAGTCTTCCCTGACCTCTTCCTTCAGGTCCCACAGGATCCTGTTCATACATCCTCACCATTCCCCGTCACTCCAGAACTTGCTCGTCTATCTCTAGCGCCAGAACAAAGCTTCACAGACTTCTGGGTTGGGCTCAAGAAGCTGCACTTTTAACAAATACCCTCCCCTCCCCCAAGGTATCAGGTACAAGCAGATTTCAAACTAAACTTTGAGAACCATCTTGCTCTAGAGCAGCCTGTCCAATAGAAATATAATTTGAATCATATAGATAATTTAAATTCTTCTAGTAGCTACTTACAAACATAAAACAGGTGAAATTATTTTAAAGGTATGTTTGCTTAACCTGATATACCCAAAATATTATCATTTCAACATGCATTCAATACGAAAATTGTTAATGAGTTATTTCACTTTTTTTGTCGTTCTAAGTCTTCAAAACCTGGTGCATATTCTACACTAGGTTGGATGGGCCAGTGCTCATGAGCCACATGGAGGTGTTGATGGCCATATGAGACTGCACAGCTCTAGAGCTTTGCTGCTGAGTGTGGTCCATGGACCAGCAGTTTCAGCATCACTGTGGGCTTGGTAGAAATGCAGGATCTCGGGCCCCACTCGGACCCACTGAATCTTAACACGTCGGCAGATGTGCTTCGTATGTGTGTGGAAGGCTCTGAAGACCTGCTTAAGATCTAGAGCACGAGCTCCTTGGTGTAAAGACCGTGATTTAACTTATTTTTAGCACCTAACAGAGGTCCTGGCCTCTGGAAGGCCCACCACAAGTGTTTTTGGAGAAAAGGAAGGAATGTATGAATCTTACCTGCCCCGGCCCACTCCTCTTGGCACCCCCTTCCCTATGCACTGTCAGTGAGAATCTCAGACTCTTGGGTCTGAAAAAGAATTTACAAGTCAGAGAACAAATGTATGTCAGGGCTGATAGGAAACCTAAAGTTTCTGTAGCCTAACTCCTTTGAGCCCCAGAGAGATAGGGCGATTTAAGTCCCTCGGCTTGCTGGGCACAGCAAGCTCCCTTCTTTCAGGAGAAAAGTGGTCTGATGAAGGCAGGTCACGCCGCACCGGGGCACGCAGCTGGGCCTGCCTTTCTCCTCCTCATCTCTGTGCTCTTCCTCAGAAATCCTACGAAGCCGTTCAGAGGCCGCAGGCCTGGCCTGCACGTATTAGTTATCCATCTGTTTGTCCTCAATCTTCTCCCAGAAAAGATTTAAGACACCTGTAAATTTGCATAGATTTCTAGGGGATGAAACAAAAAAATAGACAATGTACTAAGAAAGCGTGCATAGATACACGGACAAGGGTGTTCACTATAGTATTACATGTTATAGTGAATATCCAGCCATAGAGGAGTAGGCAGATCAACTGTGTCCCATTCAAACATTGAAATTCTGTATCACAATTAAGAATGTTGATATGGAGGAGAGTATAGCTCAGTGGCAGAGTGCATGCTTAGCATGCCCGAGGTCCTGGGATCAATCCCCAGTACCTCCATTCAAAAAGATCAAGTAAATAAAAGAAAGATGATATGGAAGTAGTCATTGACATGGGAAAGTGTCATTAGATACCGTACGAGTATTGATGAGCCTATTTTATCTACATGCATGTAGAAACATCTGGAAAGGATATATACATCCCAAATATTAATGTTGCTTTTGCAGGGGGGGAGGACTATGAGTGATTCTTACTCTTTTTGACCATCTACTGCTTCTATAATTTCTAGTTTTTCCCCCTCAATGAATATGAATTACTTACGTAATAGAAAAATAAAATTTACAAAATAGAATATGTGAGGAAAATGGGGAAAGGAGAAAATAAGAGTTTTGCTCGGTGTAGAATTTACTGGAAAATCTACTATTTAAAAAAAAAATCCTAAGTACAGGTTTATAGCGTTATGGCCCATAGTCCTTATTTACACGTAGCCAGCAATTATGAAATGTTGGAGAGATGGACTCACAATATTGACATTTGAAAACTCATGAGCCAGCTTTTGTTAAATTTTAGTCTGTGTTCAGGGAAGTGAAAGTTAATAATGGTGCAGTCTGTCTTGTTTGGAATGGAGTCCAACAATGACCCGCCCTTCATGTGTGGGCTCAAAATAGCCTATGTATGTTGGATAATGATTGTGCAAGAGAGAGTCCTGAAATCTTACGTGCTAGAGCTGGGTGGGTAGGTGGGTAGATGGAAATATTCACACGTGCATGTGCACGTGCGCAGACACACGTGTGTGCACACTCACGTCAAATCCAGCGAGGACCACACTTTCACCACCTCCAAGGCAGCACTTTGGTCCAAGCCAATCAGTAGGCTCCTAACTGGTCTCCCTGCTTCCCCGCTGTGGCCCCTTCGCTTCCCTGTGGCTGGAGCCATCTTCCCCGTGGTCCAGCCTGCCTCTTGGATCTCACTGCCTAGCTGGCGCTTTGCTCCCTCCACTCCAGCCTCCACTTCACTGGCCTTTCCCCGGCCTGGAACATTCTCCCCCTCCACATCGGCTCACTTCCTTGCCTCCTGAAGGTCTCTGCTGAATTGCCATCTGATTTGTGAGGCCTTCCTCCCCACTCTGTATAAAAGAACTGTTTATTCTTTTTTTGCTCCACCAGGTTATCCTACTTCATTTTGCTTCATTGCACTTCTCCCCCAACACTGTACATATTTATTTGTTTACTTTTTGTCTTCCCGACTAGAATGTAAACTCCCTGAGGGGAGGGACTTCATTTCTTTTCTTTATGGACATTTTCTTAATGCCCAGTGCTCTAAGTCTATGCTTGATGAATGTTAAATAATATTCAAAGGAAGGGATGGGCTTCAGATATCATGTGACGAATCTTCCTCATTTTACCAATGAGGCTCCTGAAGTCTAACTAAGAAAGCTTCCAGCCTGGCTCAAGGTCACACAGCTGGGGCAGCAGGGCTGGATTCTGCCGTCCCTACTCTGCTCCACCTCCTGCCTGCGCCTTGGAAGGGAGATTAACTCCACACACGCACAGAGGCCGTGGCTTCGTCCATCCTGTCTCCTGTGTGTTTTTCCAGTTTATACAGAATTTCAGCCCAAAACAGCAGAAGAAAAAAAAACAGTTGTTCCTCCAGAACCCTGGAAACTCTTCCAATGGGTCTGTCCCTGGAAAAACAGCAGCGATCTCAGGGTGGGAAGGTAGGAAACGGAGGAGGGGGTCTTCCAGATTTGGGGGCAATGGGCTGGATTTGGTTTTGCAATTAAAATAACATCTGGGTCTGTTTCCACAGGGCGGTTCTGAAAAGTGGGTGGTCTGTCTGAAGTATCAGGTGGAGCCTTCCCCATCCTGGCCCAGGGGGGTTTGGGATGGCAGGTGGCTGAAGGGCTCGCCCAACATATGACATTCTGAAAGAAACTGGGTCAGAAGAAGCCTCTGGAAACCCCACCTGCAGCCTGGACTGAGATCTTGCTGGTCCCTACCTGACCTAGTGGGGGCATCTCCAGACACCTCCCCCTACACCATCAGCCCTCCTGGAGATTGTTCACACACCGCCTTTGATGCATAGAGCGCTCTGGCCTCCTCCCTCTCATGCCCCATGTGGTTTGTTAATCGTCTGTGAAATGAGGGATTTCAGGCATCACTCATCCGTGTGAGGATGGTGAGGCCCTGGAGCCGTGGAGTGGAGTAGGGAAGGGTCGCTGAGGGCCATTCCAGTTTCCTGAATCCTGTCCCTCTGTCTGGCTTCTCAGATGCAGCTTTTGGATAAGTTTCCCATCGAAGGTGGCCAGAAGGACCCCAAGCAGAGAATCATCCCCTTCCTTCCAGGTAAGCTTTGGATGGCCGTGCTGATGAGGGGCCGGGGGGGTACCCTGGAGAGAGACATTCTGTAGGCCAAGAAAAGGCTGGCTACCACACCAGAAATTCTGGACTGGGTGGGCCTAGCAATCTGCATGTTAACAACTCCCCAGGGGATCAGAAGCCCTTGATTTTGAAGGCCATTGTGGAGGCCTCTCCCTCCACCCCAGCAGAGGTGGCCCCGGGCCATGTAATTTAGGAGTTTTTCAGGCTCTGGGACTTTGGTTGCCTTTTTACAAAAAGCACAGTGAGATCAAGTTTTCCTGTGAAAGGATGCAAAACTGCATGCTGAGCTCTTTCCACTGGCTCTCATGATAATCGTAGACAGCCTTCAATTGAGCACGCTTCTCCGTCCAACCTGCTCGAGTCCTCCTGGCACCATTATCGCTTGAGGCCCTGATAGCTGACATAACCCGGCCTGTGAGTTGGCAGAGCTAGGATTTGAACCCAGGTCCATCTGGTCATAAAGGCCATTAACCACCACACCATTTTGGAACATGTTTAAGGCAATTGATTATGTTGTATAACTTAGAGGGCATCTTCTCAGGTGTGTCATAATCTGCTATTGCTATGATGTCTTATAGCTTGTGATGAATTTATAGCTTACGAAGTGCTTTTTAATTTGTGATCGTATACAAATCTCTGCACTCAGCTGTGTGTTATAATTTCCACTTGAGGGATGAAGATGTTGAGGTTCAGAGACATTGAGTAACTGCCCATAAAAGTGGCAAAGCTGAGGCGTGAACTCTGTCTCCTGCTCCAAACCGGGCTCTTTGCCCTGAATCGTGTGGGCGGTGCTGCCTCCTGGCTCTCGGGATTCTAGCCTTACCCCAAGCCAGTGGGTAGGACTGTTCCCAGGGGAGCCTTCCCACACAGTGGTCTTCACCCTCCATTGCTGCTGGGCCTGGACCTCCCCGGGCTAGCCTCCAGAATGACAGCGATCAGGGACCATTGTGAGAAGCAGATCCGTGTCTCATTAATCCCTGGCTTGCTGCCAGCCCAGGGTACTAACCTGCTTGTTGACTCAAAAACCTCCCCAGGGGCACCTCCCACAGAGAGTGGTTCCTCCCTAATAGATGCTTCTCATGCAGCCCCATCCTCAAAAGCAGAGCAAGACAAGAGCAGGCATTGCCACCTGTCCTCCAAGTCGTAATGCTAAAATTGGAGAGAATTAATTTAGCTACAAAGAAGAACTTGTAAATCCACAGTTTAGACAAGACCAAAATGAGTCAGTGAGGGTGTAGGGAATCTCAGCCCTGGGCCCCTTCCATGGAGACAGAGGACTGTTTCTCCAGTCCCTGCCTGGGAGTTAACGTGGGGGACTTTTGCACCCTGCCTGGCTTTCCGCTGGGTCTTGAGGCAATTTGGAACGTCCACCACCCAAGTTTGTAAGGATTTTAGATGTTGCTCCAGTACAGTCCAATTCCTGTGCCCTGGGAGCGCAGCTGGGATGCTGTGGACACAAGTGTTCGAGAGCCAGTGGAGCCGGTGTGCAGCTCTGGTGCCAGGGGGACCCAGCCTCGGGGCATGAAGGCTGCCTGTTGCTCAAGGAGAACTGACTTCCCGCCGCCCTCCCCCATTCCATGGCCAGCACTCCAGGGAAAGAGCTCCTCACTATTATTCACTCAGCGGGTGTTTTGAGGGGCTTAGCCTGTGCCCAGGCCCAGGAATGAGTACCCAGGGCCAGGGACTGGGTTGGGGGTGGCTGGTGAGTCCAGGGAGAAATGGATTTGTTTCCTTCATCTAAGGAACCCTCAGGCTAGTGAGAGAGACAAGATCTACTCTCTAATCAGAGAACCACTTAAGGCAGGATGTGACCTCTATCACTGTGAAATTCCAGTTTTGATGGAGAAGGAGCTCATTGTGAGCCCAAGTTAGCAAAGGCCTCCTGAACGAGGGGGACCTGGAGCTGACCTTGAAGGATGGGTGGGGTTGGGTAGGGTGAAGTGCAAGACTCAAATCCTTCTACAGCCCACAGTCTCAGGAGTCAGACTGCATGGCTTCACCCCTGGAAACCCTGGCTCTGCTGGCTACCGATTGTAATGCCTTCTCTGGGCCTCAGTTTCCTCCTCTGGAAAATAGGACTGATAACATATCTGCTTCCTGGGGAGGCTGTTATAATGGTAAAGTGAATTAATATGTCTCATGTGCTTACAACTATGGCTGGTGCCTAGTAGAGGCTAAATAAATGTCAGCCCTTATTATTACCAGTTGCTGACCTGTGCTTAGCCTGTCACACAGCACACTCACATATGTCATCTCAGTTGATCCTCCCTGTGAGCTTATTATCCTCATTTTACTGACTAGAAATTGAGGCCAATGCAGGCAAATAGACTTGAACAAGCCACACGGCCAGGAAGTATAGCCAACACCAAAATTCTTGTCTCTGACTTCTGGGCCAGGGCTCCCCTTCACATCAGCTACCCCAGGAGATGATAACCCAACAGCTGCTGCAGGACTGAGACCTCTCTGAACTTCAGTTTCCTCTTCTGGGGATTAAACAAATTCATGTAAATGCTTTGCACAGTGCCTGTCCCACAGTAAACGCTCAATAAATGGCAGCTATTAGGAAAGAAATTCACCACACTGCTGTCCCCAACTCCTGGGAAAAGACAAAGCACAGGGCCCTGGCAGTGCCCACATAGATGTGACCTATGCCTGGTGGGCAATGTTGTCTAGAGGAATGAGGTGACTGGCTCTCTGCTCTCATCCCATCCTGAAGGAAGTCTCCTTTCCCCTTGCTTCTCTGCATTTCTCCCCTTCCTTCAGTGGAGCTCTCTCGCCACAGTCTCCCTTTTGCTCGTTTGCTCTCCAGGACTTCAGAGCAGACATTGCTGGCCATTTGGATTCCCACCCTGAGACTCCCAGGCCCTGTTCCTGGCTTTCCTCCTGCCCATGGGGAACGACCCTAACCCTTTCATACTTTACTCACTCCTTAGCTTGGACAGGAAAGAAAAAGATTGAAGAAAAACAGCCCAACATAATCAGGACCAAGCAACCAAGGACCGAATGGGCATGAGGGTTCCCAACCCACCCCACAACCCTGAATCAAAGCCGGTCCCGCCGTTGGAGAGGGTTTCAGAGATGGGCAGTAATGAATGGTGCCTGTCTTAGGTCAGGTTTCCTGGAAACAGAACCTGAGACAAGGATGCTCAGGCAAGTTGGCTTTTGAGGGCTGCTCTCAGGTGAGCATCCTCTGGCGGTGAGAGAAGCAGCCCAGGGTGGGGGAAGACACTGGACAGAGCCTGGCCTCAGCCGGACCCCACGAGGAGCTCTGGAAGATGGATGGCACCACAGAGTTGTCCCATCTTAGGGGACAATTTCTACTCCCTGTAGCAGGATATCAGTCATTTGGGTCTGTGAGCATCCTCCTCTCCTAGAAGTGTGAAATATGGGCAGGTCCTCCCGCGGGCTAAGGGCTGAGGGTGTGCCCCTGGAGAAGGGTCAGTTGTGAACCCTTAGCAGTTAACACCCACAGAGTGCAGGGTGGGAGCACCAGCTGGTAGGCGCTCTGGACAGGGCACCTGCAGATCTGCTGTATTACCTGATACCAGCTTGAGTCTGTTTCCACCTCCCTGCCTTGGAGGGGGCATCTATGGTCACCTAGTGATTCCCCAGGCTAAGCCCTGGCAACAACGACTCAGTAGAACCTCAGAGAGTTCAAAGATGCTGGGGTCATCCAGCAGCCTTGGCTCCTGCCAGCCCGGGGAGGGTAGCAGCCAGCCCCGGGAACACCTCTGCCAGCCCTTTGCCTTGCCTGGAATTTCGGAGCAAGGAGAACCTAAGGGGTGAAAGCAGAAAACACCTGTTATTTTCATAGGAGCCTCAATTTTAGCTTCAGAGGTGATGGGACTCGATGTGCATTTCTACTGCCCAGGTATGCGGCCTGGGGGTGTCTTTGGAGGATTAGGCCAGCCGCTGTGCTTGGGCCCACCTGGCTGCAGGCTCATGGCTGGGGGCTCATAGAAGTCTGACTGGCTGGTTGAAATGACAAAGAAAGCAGAGGAATTGGGAGAAGAGAGGGAATCTGAGGTTCACATGGTTATGTGCTCGCTCATCTGCCAGTCAAATCCTGGCAGAAAATTCCGCTCTTAAGCCATGGATCTTAGGATCTAGGACACAGACTTGTGGCATGTCTGGGAGCTGTATGGCCTGAGTTCAGGGTCAGCCTGGAGGTTTGAAGAGCGGTGAGGACCCCAGGCTTCTGTGGCCAAAGGTGGAGGCTCTATCCCCAGAGAAGCTCACCCAAGATGTGCCATGGCTCTCAGGAGACGGAGTGTTCCGCAGTACTTCTGACGCAGGGGCTAGGGCGTGGGAGGCTGTGAGCGGGGCCAACAAAGTGGTAGAGGGGATAACAGTACAGTTACCAGCATAGTGCTCTGAATTAGCATGTCAATCAAATACTGTAGAGAGTTTGTAGGGGAACTGCCCTTAATGACAGATGGCCTCCCCAACCCAGTTATTTCCCCCAGGGCTGGAACCCACTTTCTGGGTCCTGATTTGTGAGACCTGCAGTGCCCATGGGAGGGGCATGAAGAAGTTATGGGCCGTGTGGGACAGGTGGTTCTCCAGCAAGGCATCCCTGGAGAGAAAACCCAAGTGGTTTTGGGGGCATGAAGGAGCAGAGAGTTACTCCAGGGCCCAGATGCCCTGGGAGGGGGAGGCGGAGGTGGGGAGAAGGGGAGTGCCTCCCTCCAGGCCTGCCTGGGCCTCCAAACCCCACATTATGAACGAGTGATGGAGACACACCTGGCTCTTTTTTGCTGACCTTCGTGGCCTTCCTTTGAGACAGGCCCTTATCTACTTCTCTCGTATTGCTGTCGTGGGGCTGGGCACATACTGGATGATTGATCATGAATTGGGCCTGTTCTCCCTTATATAAGGTAGATACAGATACCCTTTTTTTTTGAGCTCCTCCTGGGTGCCTAGCCTTGTATTAGGCACTCTCCAAATCTCTCCAGTTCTCACTG